GTCAAGGGGAAGCAGAGGGAGGGAGGAAACTAGGTGGGAGACGGAAGAGGGGAGAGGGAGGGGAACAAGGAGGCAGGATCAGGTGAGGGGAGAGACAGGAGAGAGGCCCAGAGGGCCCTATGAAATGGAAATCTACAGCTGCTGGGGGATGGGAGGCTCTCTAGGAAGTCCCAGGGACCTGGGATAGGGGAGGCTCCCAGGAGTCAAAGCAAGATACCTAACAGTGGGGACATGGAACCTGAAGAGGCCATCTCCTGTAGCCAGGCAGCACTCCCAGGGGAGGGATAAGGACACCAACCCACTCAAAATTTGTTCTGTCTAAAAGAAAGGCAGGGATGGAGCAGAGACCAAAGGAAAGACCAACCAATAACCAGCCCAACTTGAAACCCATCCCATGGACAAGCACCAATCCCTGACATTAGTAATGAAACTCTGTTATGCTTAGAGACAGGAGCCTAGCATAACTGTCCTCAGAGAGGCTCTATCTATCTGAAATAGATGCAGACATCCACAGCCAAACCTTAGAAGTTGAGGATATTTATGGATGAATTAGAGGAAGAGTTGAAGACCCTGAAGGGGATGAAAAACCCATAGGAAGACCAACAGGGTCAACAAACTTATACCCCTGAGAATACCTCAGAGTCTGAGCCACTTACCAAAGAATATATACAGGCTGGAACTAGCCCCCCTTCCACCTCCCGGCACATAGGCATCAGACAGCAGCTTAGCCTCCATGGCTGCTCTGTCTGGCCTCAGTAGGAGAAGATGCACCTAATCTGGCAGAGACTTGATGTGCCAGAGTTAGGGGATACCCAGGGGGGATCCCACCCTCTCAGAGGAGAAGGGGAGGGGGTGGAAGGGAGAGACTCTGCGAAGGAGGGACCAGGAGGGGAAGCAGCATTGGGGATGTAAATAAATAAATAAACAAATTTTTAAAAAGATTAGAAGGAGGAGGAAGGAGAGGAGGAAGAAGAAGGAAGGGTCACCTGAATAAATCGTACAATCACAAGGACAAGCCACACATGGCAAAAACATGTTTTTTCACGGAGGCATATAAACAAGTAACGACAGCCAATTGTAATGTAACGTGAACTTACTTCTATCCACTATACCTGTGAGGGGCACAAAAGCACATTCCAAGAAAAACAGAGATTACATACACACTCTCGTCTTGTTTACTTGGAGTTTTCTCACTAGGTCTCAGAAATCTCCTCACACAGCTTCCTCCGTGGACGAGTTCTGCCACCCTCTCTGGTGCTGAGTGCATGTGCTGCAGGGGTATCAGAAAACAGTGGCATACATGGCTTCAAGTAGTGTACACCAGAGCTTACCAAGAATTAGAAGCTAAATAGTTTTAACCCAAACTATTTCAAGTGACTGAATAAAGATGGGGAACAGATTTCTTTTCCAAGGTAGTCTCCCCCGTTCAGGCCTACAGATGGTCTTTGTTGTATAAACCCTCTTTCAGGAGCACTTCTCAGGCCAATCATGGTATGCCTGTTCTCCAGAGTTCCTGAGGGCTTGTGGGAGAGGAACACAGCGGCTGAGGCCCAACAGCTGCTGCTGGCAAGGGAACATGGGAAAGTGAACACCTGAGGTAAAGCCTTTCGTTCAGCCTTCCTGGAGGCAGCTTAGCAACTGTGACATGGGAGCAAAGACTATGCAAGGATGGGATGGGAACAGTCATCTACCTAACGAGGTTTCAGAAAACCGTGGAGTCAGTTTTCTTCTCCCATGGGGGACCCAGGGGTCAAATTTGGGACATCAGGCTTGGAGGTCAGCATCCACTGAGCCATCTTGAAGGCCTTGTGAACTCTTGAGTGACGAATTATCCTACTTCCCTCATACCTCTACCAGATCACAAGATATAAATCTTGAATTTTATTGTTCTGTTATTTATGTTCTTTCCTGGTGTTTTACTATGTAATAGATTTTCCATAAATACTAAGTGAGCAGCATGAAAATGTTTGTATGGGAAACGGCGCATTATTGGTTGGGCACAGTGCAAAAGGAAACTATGAGAAAGCAACTACCTAGAATTTCAAGATGGCAATAGTGGAGCATCAGTTTCAGCACAGGACCCTCTCAAGGTGCAGGCCTGTGCATCTCCACAGCTGCACACTCCTGAAGCCCCCTCAGTGGCTGACTCTGACCTTACATCTCAGAAGCACCTGACTGCTACCATGTGATACTCGGTCATTCTCCTCCTAGAAATGGGTATGACTTGTTGCATGGTTGCTCACATAAGATCTGCATTTCTCAGGCTCAGTGGTTAAGAGCACTGGCTGCTCTTCCAGATGTCCTGAGTTCAATTCCCAGCAACCACATGGTGGCTCACAACAATCTGTAGTAAGATTTGATTCCCTCTTTCTGCTGTGCATGAGACAGAACACTCATTTATATAAGATAAATAAATTAATTTTTAAAATTAAGAACTGCATTTCTCAAGCTTGTACTAGCTGTTCTTCCTAGCTGAACAGTAGAAGAGATGCATGCAAGGTCCAAGCAGAAGAGCCCTAAGTTCTCTTTCCCAGCTCTGTAATCTAGTAACCCAGCGTCAACCATAAACATCCTGAATGACTCAGCATGCCAGAGCACAGTTGGAAGGACTCTGGGTCCCTGATTGGTGTGGTGTATGTGGAACAGGCATGCTCATGAGAGATCAGATCTTGGGTTCAAGACTCCATCTTAGAGAACCTGACCTAAGGTTGAATTTGAATTAATGAACAGCCAGCACCTAGCAACAGTTTCCAGGTTACTCCCGATAAACCTACACCTGGCATTAGTTTCCACGTTACAAGCCCCACCCTGGCACTCCACTTCCTAACCACCACCAGTCTGGAAGAAAGCAGAAGTTAAGTTTATGCTTTGGCTCCCAGCACCAGCCAATTATGTTAAAGGGCAACAAAGTTCCATAATGCCCCTCCCACTCCCCCAAATCAGATGTGTGCCAAGCTAGAAACCCTCTTGCTTGCTTGCCATTACTGATAAAACCTGGTCCCGCAGAGAACTCGGGGCTTCACCCTCCTGTTCTGCTGTGTCAGAGATGGCGGTGTGGCTCTAGATCAAGCTTGTGATAAAGATCCTAGTGCGGTTGCATCGGAATTGGCTCCTTGGTGGTCTTCTGGGGTTCACGAATCGGGCACAACACCCAGAAACACAGCACACCTCAGAGTAGTGGCTCAAATCAGCGAGGATCCCCAATCAATAGCTTTGTTGACAGACAATATGTCAAAAACATCTTTTTCATTCACTCAGCAGCCAGATACATGACACTAGGCCAGTGGATCTCAATCTGTGGCCTGTGACCTCTTTGGGGGTCAAATATCTGATGTCCTGCATATCAAATATTCACACTTCAGTTCATAACAGCATCAGAATTACAGGTATGAAATAATAACAAAAATAATTTTATGGTTGGGGGTCACCCCAACATGAGGAACTGTATTTTAAAGGGTTGCAGCATTAGGAAGGTTGAGAACCACTGGTGTAGGCGAAGCCAAAGCTGGAACATGCCTGCAGATCCTGTATATGAGCACCAATAGATACAGGGTTAGCTCCAAAGAAGGCACTTGGCTTAGTGTAAGGGAGATATTTAGAAAACGGCACCCGGTCTGGCTTGTTCTGGGCAGCCGCCATGTTCTCGCTGCTTCTCGGCTCTGACTGGGGTGCTGGCTAGCTAGATGCACAGGCCCTGGCATCCACGAGATGCCATCATGGGGGATAGCTCTGCCACTCACCATGCTGCATCCACAAAGCTCGGCTGAACCCCAGACAATGTCTGCCATCCTTGCAGTACCCGGTAGAAATGAGACTCTTAAAGCTTAAAGATTATCCAATGGATTTATATATTTGGAAATGCTCAAATAACAAGATGCTCACACAGTTAGAATTGTTACCCAACATCTAACTTTTTGATAAGTACTATCCAGGACTGCTCTCCAACCATGTGTCCTCCTCCTTCGTTGCTAACCTCCTTTTTTATCTCCCCTTCCTCTCCTTCCTCTCCCAACTCCTCACTCCACCTACCTCTCATACTGCCCAACCGCTGAGCTCCACTGCAATGTACATTACAGCTACAATGTAGCAGTAGCAGGAAATCATCCTTTTACAGCAGTAAGCGTGCTTAAGTGTGATCTCACCTGCTCCCGCCCAAGAAACCCAAACATCTTAAGTTAAATTAAGCTAGCTTTATGTTAAATTAACCTAATAAGACCATATAGTCTCGAAACTAGTGGCTGAAACCTGACTAATCACAAGTTTTCAGCCAGCTACAGACTACAAACTGAGGAAACATGTCCATTTAAGGGACATACCAAACTGTATGTCACCAGGCTATTTCTCTGTCTTTCAATAGCATTTTCTAACTGTGGTAGCGCTCTCTGGGTCACCTGTACCATCTGATTCATCAGTCTTTTGTCAGCTCAATTAACTCCTGTTGAGTGTGTCTTTTTCTTCCTAAGAGAAAGGAGTCGGAAGTGGGATCTCAGGTAGAATTTCAGGGGTGCTAATGATGGACAGAGCTGCTGGACCAGAGCCCCCTGCAGCCTGGGCCTCTCCCGGTGACTAGAGGTCAGGGGTGAGTTCACTCTTGGATTCTGAACCCCACAAACCTGTGTTTTGAGCTGTTTGACTGATTTAAGCAACCCTTAGATTAGACTGGGTCTAGCATGAACTATGTCCAGTATCTAATTGAGTCAGATCCAGTTAGAAATCTCAGCTCTGTACATTTCAATAACGGGTTTATCTATTAGAGCTATCATCTGGGATTCCAGATAATTTAATCTGTAAGATTTTAGACTTAAACTTTTTTGTAGATTAAGAAAAATGTCTTGCACTTACTAGAGATTGAATTGCACTGACATTATCATAGTGATCCAGATGTGGTGGTGTACACCTTTAATCCAAGCTTGGAGAGGCAGAGGCAGGCTGATCTCTGTGAGTTCCAGGACAGCCAGGGTTACATAGAGAGACTCTGTTTCAAAAAACAAACAAACAAATCATCATAATGGAGACATTTAATTTGATAATACAGGCTATTTAGGGGATATATTAGAAACATATTAGAAAAAAATGGATCAAAGACCCCCATAAAGGTGCATTTTAATTGGTATACAAAAGATTGAACAGATCAATTCCCTCCCCAAATCTTAAGCAGTGAACGGAAGATGTTATAAAGGTTGACAGCTTTGACCAAATCACACTATTCATCCCGTCAGCAGTTGCTAGCCATACTGACCTTTCTGCTCACCATCTTTTCATTCTGAAGATAATAAAGAGAAGAGCTTAGGCAAACGCCATACAAAGTGAGGTCCTCCAGTCAGCCTCCCGGCATAGCCACTTTTACTCTATAGTCTAAAACTGAGAAAAAATTTTAAATTCAATCTTAAAAAGTTTTCCTAATAGATTGGTCAGGCTGACAGGATGGCTCGGTGATAAAAGGCACCAAGCCTGAAGACTTGCATTTGATCCCTGGCAATCATATGATACAAGGAGATCTTATGTCTATCTGTCCTCTGACCTGCACGAGTGCACTGAGGTCAAAGAACAACCTTTGGGAGTTGGTTCTCTCCTTCCATCACTTGGACCTCGCATTGGTGCAGAGCTGTCTCGCACTGGTACCAGCTGTCAGCTAGCCTCAGGCATCTACCTGCCTCTGCCTCCCCAGCGCTGGGATTACGAGCATGCGCCACCATGCCTGGCTTCTTGACATGGGTTCTGGAGATGAAACTCAGATCTTTCTGCTCAAACAGCAGACATGTTACCAACTGAGCTCTTTCCCCAGACCTGAACTTGTGGATCTAGCTGAATATTTTGAGAGGGCTATAAAAAAAAAGATCTAAAAGGCCAACCATATTACATCTCTCCACCTACAACAGTTATAGGGACCAAGACCAAAAGGATTTCCTTGTCTACAATGAGGTCCTAAGAAAAGATATTTTTCTTTTCTTTACACACACACACACACACACACACACACACACACACACACACACACA